TGACGTCACAGCAAAATGTGCCTCATATAACGCTCGCCAAGCGGCTAGTCCAACATGCCCCTGGTGGAAAAACAGCGAGCTGCAGCACACAGCTCTCCTCTCCCTTCCAAACACTAGCTACCCTCCAGGCAGTCAGTGGACACAAAGTTGTTCCTGTGATGTAGAGACAGAGCTCAGTTAAAACTTTATGGATACAGATTAACTCTGAAACTCTTGCTCCAGTCCATGTTGCCAGCTAGTCGGCAACATGTACAGCTGAACCAAAGCTGTTTAAGGGCTTCTCACAACCTGCCCTTCTCTGCTTCTGATTGGCTTAACTAGCAACTGTGCAACTCCCAGCAAAGTTAATTTAGAGACAAGATGTATCACTCCATAGCTAAAACAAAGCATTCACACACAGAGTGAAAAGAGGAGCTGCAGCAACGTGCAGTACAGGGGGAAAAAGGTATTTTTTGACACTTTATTTTTAATATTTAATTTACCTTTACTTGGGCGTGCAACGCTGGGTGGTGATCCCGCAAGTTCTGCAGCAGGTTTACTGCAGGTATTCGCTTCTTTAGCAGGAACCTTTTAACTGCAAGTTTTTTAAACTGGTGATCCGTCATCTTCAGCAAAGCCCTGGTCAGACTTGGTGTACCCAAAATGATCCCACGTTGCCTCTCCAGCCGTGTCTTTGTTGGAAATAAAGCTTCACAGTCTGGTCTTTCTGCCAGAGTTTAGCCAGTGTACAGTAGCCTCTGATAAGCAGACACATTAAGCTGATGCACCGCTCCTGTAACTTTGTTTTCGATTAAGTTCCCACAGTTTTGTTCCGTGCAATAGAAACACTCTGTGTAGCAGAGCCTTTATGTTTAATTAACCGTGACATTTTAAAGCACGGTTAAATTCTTTAAGAAGCACAAGACTAAAACTAGAGCCAGCAGATAACAACTTACATCTCCACCAGGGGGCCCCAGAGCTCATGAGAACACAGTGCATATTCCCAAAAGTGGCAGTGCCCTGAACCCACTACTGCCTACAGGTCCATAACAAAAGAAACTGTACAGAAACAACTTTACCCTGGCTGGCCACTAGGGTTGGGTATCGTTTAAAATTTTTACGATACCAAAACCAGTACCCTCAAAGTGATACTGATGCCATTAGAATACTTTATTGATACCTTGTATAAAATGCAACCTGTTGATATTATTGTGAAAAAGAGCCAGTCCAAAGGCAGTCCTCAGCCAGTACGAACGCAGACCCAGTCCAGACGTCTTTAGCAGGTCACGCAGACCCAGGTGAAGTAGATGCAGCCTCAGCCAGTACGAACGCAGACCCAGTCCAGATGTCTTTAGCAGGTCACGCAGACCCAGGTGAAGTAGATGCAGCCTCAGCCAGTACGAGCGCAGACCCAGTCCAGACGTCTTCAGCAGGTCACGCAGACCCAGGTGAAGTAGATGCAGCCTCAGCCAGTACGAACGCAGACCCAGTCCAGAGGTCTCTAGCAGGTCACGCAGACCCAGGTGAAGTAGATGCAGCCTCAGCCAGTACAAGCGCAGACCCAGTCCAGACGTCTTTAGCAGGTCACGTAGACCCAGGTGAAGTAGATGCAGCCTCAGCCAGTACAAGCGCAGACCCAGTCCAGACATCTTTAGCAGGTCACGCAGACCCAGGTGAAGTATGAGCACAAAGATGTACAGCCAGCATTAGATGCAAGCAGTTTAGACTCTAATGGAACAGTTGCTGCTCGACCAAGTGACCCAGCAGATTGGCCCCCAGTCTTATCTGACTTTGAGGACTGAGTTAGTGCACAGAGGTCCATTCGAACCAGTATTGGATTTTTCTAGAAGAGGTTTCCATTCAGGCTTCTTACAGAGGCAGACTGTTAAGTAGGAGGGCCCCACAGCAGAATTTTGATTAGGGCCCAAGGAAGGTCAGGACCGGCTCTGACCACAAGTAACCCTGCATTCTGGAGCACAGATCTCTTTAAAGTGGTCACATTATGCTCTTTTTCAGGTTTATTATTTTATTTACAGGTTGTACCAGAGCAGGTTTACATGGTCTCATTTAAAAAAAAACATGTTTTTGTCATATTGCACATTGCTAATTTACCGTGTTTTGAAAGCTCTGTTTTAGCTACAGAGTGGAACTAGGAGCTTTTGGAGGAACTCTTTTCCACCATTAAATCACAAACAGTCAATTAGCACACACAAGTCTGGCTGATGTCCGCCTGAGATCGTATGTCGGCATTAAAAGTATTGCTCGGAAATAGCAGCCAGCGTCAGCGGTGTGTGTACAGCGAACAAGTTACGCTAAATACTGGGTCCAAAGTTGTTGTTGTTTTAAGTTTTCATCAGTCAGGAAGTTTTTACAGAGAGCCAAAGTCGGTCTCCTTCAAAAACAAACGGAGCAGTTAATTAAAGCAGGTAATAAAGCTCGTAAAACATCCTGTTCCTTCGACGCTCAGGCAACACAGACCTGAGTCGTGCAGCTGATCGGCAGCTCTTGTCGGCTGGAAATCTTCTCGTAACCTTCCAAACTGTCGCAATTCTTCTCGTTTGAGTTGCTTTCTCTCTGCTGGAGTTATTTTTAAGAACTTTCTGGCTTAATCCATTTTGTTACTAAATCTGTAACCAACTTTATCTGTTCCTCTTCATTATACTCCACAAAAAAACTGCTTTAATTATCACGCACAACCTTTAGTTTTTTGTTTTATTCCAGTCAAATCTGATGTTCATTTATAAATTTTTCTCATGGATAGTGGCTACAAATAATGATGCCTGTACATCGCTTTGCACGGCGTACAGGCCTACAGTCTACGTCAGCTGGTTAATTAGCGTAATCTTCGCTGGTCTTTAGACCGCAGTGGAAATGCACACAGCGGGCTGAAGGAACCTTTTAGTTCCTTGAAAAGAGATCCGGGGACTTAAAAGTCCGTACTTTTGGTCTAAATCAGCTTTGTTGGGAGTTGCACATGCAGTGCCTATGTAAGGACTACTAGCCAATCAGAGTAGGTTGGGTCTTGCCAGGCTTGTAAACGAGGCTTCAGTCCAGCTGTACATGTTCCTGAACCAGCTAGAGCAACCTAGACTGGAGCAAGAGTTTCAGAACCGAAATTCAGAGCCTCTAATTGATGTCATTTTATCATGTCGGTTATTTTATCCCGTTAGTATTTTTCCCACTATGTGTGTTCATGTACTTTTCCCCTTAAAAACATACTACCACATTTGTAGTCACGAGACTCCGCCCCGTCCAGTCCTGGGGGAGCGCTGGCAGGCGGCAGGGAGGCGCAGTGTGTTTTCCGCCTGCTTTGGTTGCTGTGATACATTTGTTGCACGTAGATGTCCTTTTGATGAATGAAAAACTGTGAAAATTACTAGCCTACTGCATAGATATAATCTTCTGTATTTTTAGTAGCAGTGGTTCGTTCAGCAGTGCAATGTGCCGAATATAGAGGGGAACATGTATGTCATGTACATGTTGACTTTACCATTACCTTATCAATAAATATTTAAATATTTATTCAAAAATATCAAGAATCTAGTTAAAAAAATACCCCACCTTTTTAGAGTTGAGCATATTTACAGTACAAATCTTGCCAGTTAACTATGAGGGCAAAACCCAAAATAATCGTTCATTAATCGTAATTGTGGTACAATTTTCAATAAATTTTGATTTTAGGTCGAATTGTCCAGCCCTGCTATGTCATCAATACTCCTCCTTTACACAGCTGCTACTGTGAACAGAATTGCGGGTGAAAAAGTACTCTTTATGTTTTTTTGATTTTCAAGAGTAGTTAATTTTACATTTCTGAATTTTCAGCAATGCTTTGAAATTATTTATTCTTCTGTTGTTGTTTTTTGATCAACTACAACTCCTGCATACTTTCAGCCACAGAATATTACGCTCTTTAAGGAGATTTATTTTTCTATTCTACTTTCTCCAACTCCCAATTCTATTTCATTTTACATTTCCAGGTTTTTCAGCAGTGCGGTCAATGCATTTGACTGCACTGCTGCATTAGTATGCTGTACAGAGTATGTATGACTGATCATGCAGTAGGCATTACATTATTATACAATTTCAAACACAGACATGTTCTAAATGCCAGTTGTGGTTCTACGTAGCCCGCTCCACCATGACATCTAACTTACTGTCTTTCTCTCTGTCTCTTTTTTTGCTACAGAAGCAGAGAAAAAGAGATGGACTCGGACGTCACAGCTGTCCATTCTGTGACAAATCCTTCGCAAAATCTGAATATTTAAGTATTCATCTGAGACATCACACTGGCAAGAACCTACACACCTGTGAGCAGTGTGGGAAAACATTTGCTAGAGCTGATAGGTTGGTAGTCCACCGACGTATTCACACTGGAGAGAAACCATACAGGTGTGAACAGTGTGGGAAAATGTTCGCTAGATTTGCTAGGTTGGTAGTCCACCGACATGTTCACACTGGAGAGAAACCGCACAGGTGTGATCTGTGTGAGAGCAGTTTTACCACCTCGGAGAACCTGAAAATCCACCGACGTGTTCACACTGGAGAGCAACCGCACAGGTGTGATCTTTGTGGGAGCACTTTCGCCACCTCGGAGAACCTGAAAGTCCATGGACGTGTTCACACTGGAGAGAAACCGTACAGGTGTGAACATTGTGGGAAATATTTCAGTACATCAAGTCAAGTGTCAAAACACAGCCGTGTTCACACTGGAGAGAAACCGTACAAGTGTGAACATTGTGGGAAAGCTTTCAGTAGATCAGATGAATTAAAAACCCACCTACGTGTTCACACTGGCGAGAAACCGTACTGCTGTGAACAGTGTGGAGCATCTTTCAGTAGATCTGATCACTTACAAATCCACCGACGTATTCACACGGGAGAGAAATCGCACTGGTGTGAACAGTGTGGAAAAGCTTTTATTACATACAGTAAGTTAAAGATGCACCAACGTGTTCACACTGCAGGGAAACCATACAGGTGTGAACAGTGTGGGGAATCTTTTGCTGTGAGTAGATCCCTTAAAAGCCACGAACTCATTCACACTTCATCAAATTTGTCAGAGCCAAGCTAGTCTTTCCTCCTGCATCTCCCACCTGTTATGTGACTGTGCTTGATTGGCATCACATGATGGCAACTGAGGACGTATGAAAGTGATGGAAACCTGCCGTTGAGAATGTATTATCAAATAGCAAATGTCAATGTTCAAGGTAAATCTATTGTGATATTACAACAGAGTTGTGATGTGAGATGAGATGCATATTAGGCCCCCTAATGGGTCTGAAAGCAAAAGCTATATACAAAGTTATGGTTAGAAAAATATATGAATAAACAATTTTACATGGTGCAGTGCTGAAGATGAATTTAAGTCTCTGAGACTGGAAAAAAAAAAGCGGCTCTGCAGTCTGGTGATACAACAGATGGACTTTGGTATCTCTTGCCAGACAGCAGCAGGGTGCAGGGCTGGACTTGGGACAAAAATCATCAGAAACTCGGCCACAAAGTGAAAACAGTGGACAAGAGCATGCTAACACACCGGCTAATTAGCACCAACAAGACTACCAAGAAGCAGGAGGCCTGTGTACTGGGTAATAAATCTAAAAGTGGGAGTCCTCCCTGGAACGCTCTTGGTGCAAAGCCTAAGAGTAAATCATTTCCTGGGGAAATGGGAGGACAAGTAACAGGCAGAACCCAGCGCCCTGAGATTTGTGATGCGACTGGCTGGCCTGCATTATCATCCAGGCAGAGCGCCTCTTCAACCCCTGTTCTTGGTAGAACACAGCCGTGGACAGCTGCGAAAGGGAGAGTTAGCAACAAACCTCCCCAACAACCGAGTGTGCAACAGCAGAACAGATTTTCACCACTATTGCAGGACCCTGGATAACATCCCATCCTCACACAGACGGGTAAGGACTGCGAGTAAATCAGAAAGTAAAAGGCTGCAGGGAAAGCTAACGACTGGGCCTCAAACTCTGATTGTGGGTGACTCTACTGTAAACGATGTAAGAAGCATGTGCAGTAAGAACACCAGTACTCTGCTTTCCGAAGGATACGGTGTCTGTCTTGGCAGAAAGAATCCTGCATATCGTGGCTGAACATCCTACTGTGAAAAACATCCTACTGCACATCGGGACCAATTATGCTGTGAAGCAACAGTCTGAAGTGTTGAAAGAGGATTTTAATAATCTGTTGAGCACAGTCAGCTCTTTGAATGCTGAGGTGTTTATCAGTGGCCCTATACCGCCGATCCGAAGAGGAGCTGAGAGATTCAACAGATTGGCATTGAACACGTGGCTCTCAACAGCATGTACCGTCCATTCAGTGCATTTCATCGAAACTACTTTCTGTGGGACTGCAGACATCTTTTTAAGGCAGATGGACTTCGCTTTAACAAGTCGGGAGTAAAATTGTTCAGCTCCAACCTGTTTAACTTTCTGCGTCACTCATCTGTTCCCTCTGCCAAGGACAAGAGACAAGAGGAATCAAAACAATGCAAAACAACAGCTTAGTGCTTTCTTGGCACTAAATAACTTTTTTGATGTCTTCCAGTCAAGTTTTCGACCACACCACAGCACTGAGACGGCTCTTGTTAAGGTCTTCAATGACTTCCATTTATTTCAGAATTTCAGTCTTAGTATTATTGGATCTCAGTGCTGCATTCGACATGGTCGACCACAACATATTACTAGACAGACTTGAAAACTGGGTTGGACTTTCTGGCACAGTACTAAACTGGTTTGAATCCTACTTAAAGGACAGGGACTACTTTGTGTCTATAGGTAATCACACATCTGAGCTGACAAAAATGACATGTGGAGTTCATTCTGGGACCTCTTGTTTAACATTTACATGCTTCCACTGGCTCAGATTATGAAAAACAACAAAATATCTTACCATAATTATGCAGATGACACACAGATTTACATAACCATTTCACCAGGGGACTATGATCCCATACAAGCGCTGAGTAACTGTATTGAGCTGGTCAACGATTGGATGTCCCAGAATTTTCTTCAATTAAACAAGGATAAAACTGAAGTTATTGTTTTTGGAGCCAGGGAGGAACGATTGAAAGTCAGTGCTCGACTTCAATCTGTAATGTTAAGAACCACAAATCAAGCCAGAAATCTTGGTGTAGTCATGGACTGAATTTGAGGAGCCATATTAAGACAATTACAAAGTCAGCCTACTATCACCTGAAGAATATATCAAGGATTAAAGGACTTGTGTCTCAGCAGGACCTGGAAAAGCTTATCCATGCATTTATCTTCAGTCGACTTGACTACTGTAACAGTGTCCTTACAGGGCTCCCTAAGAAATCCATCAGACAGCTGCAGCTGATTCAGAACGCTGCTGCTCGAGTCCTCACTAAGACCAAAAAGGTGGATCACATCACTCCAGTTCTGAGGTCTTTACATTGGCTTCCTGTATGTCAAAGAATTGATTTCAAAATCCTGCTGTTAGATTATAAAGCACTGAATAGTTTAGGGCCAAAATACATTTCTGATCTACTGCTTTGTTATGAACCATCCAGACCTCTCAGGTCGTCTGGGGCAGGTCTGCTTTCTTTCCCCAGAGTCAAAACTAAACAAGAAAAAGCAGCGTTCAGTTATTATGCTCGTATATCTGGAACAAACTCCCAGATAACTGCAGGTCTGCTGAAACAGTCAGTTCTTTTAAATTAAGACTGAAGACTTGTACCATTGCTTTTTATTAAATATTTAAGAATTTTCTTTTTACTGATAACTTCCTGTTTTCTTTTTCTTTGTTTTTAGATTTTTACCATTGCTTTAAATTACATATTTACCTGTTTTTATTTTCCATTTAACTCTTTTAGCCCTGATTGTAACTCTTCTAACTTTTATTATTTTATGTTGCTTTTAAACTTTTTTATTTCCCTGTTGCTTTTATGTTTTATGTAAATCACTTTGAATTACCTTGTTGTTGAAATGTGCTATACAAATAAACTTGCCTTGCCTTGAGTTCTGAGATCAACGTCTGAAGGACTCGGTACGCTTCAAACAAACTAGATCACGTGACGTCTGTTTATACCTGCTCCAAATGTCAACGCTGGAAGACAAAGATCACAGAGTCCAGATGTTTCAGAGGCCTGAACCAGGTCCACTGGAGGCCTCTGGGTTTAACTGCTGTGCTTTGATCCAGTGTGTAGTGAGGAGGAAGAGGCGCTGAATAAACAGGGACTACAAAAACACTACAGACCACATTTGTGTTCAGGCTGAACAAACCTTTGTTCTTGTGAAAGTCTGACTGAATCAAATCTTATTGTGTCTTCATTCTCTGAGTCCATTTTAACAGCTGGCTGCTTTCTGTTCTGTCACTAAATGTGTTGCTTTCTGTTTAACTTGCATCCTGCCAGGGTTGGTGCTGGAATAATCTGAGCTGGACACTTGAGACTTGGACTCGAGTCCTTTTCAATGTTCTCATTAAAGGAGTCGACACAAAGAGAAGCTTTGACTCTTCGTTTGAAACTGGACCTTCAATCAACTGTTTCCTTTCAACAAGATTTGTTGTGGCTTCAGAAAATGTGACAAATTGTGACGGGTCCAAAATCTAAAGACAGCAGCTTCCAGCATCTTCTAAATCCTGCTGCTGTAGAAAGTTCTGACATGTGGTTTAACTTGACTCTTAACTTCCTGTCAGTGGTTCTGATTTCCTGCAGCTGCTGACTTCTCTGTGTCTGTAGAAATAAAGTTTGTTTGACTGCACGCATTAGAACGAGCCACAAATATCCAGAGAGCCGCAGCTGTTATCCAGCCGCTGGGAGGTTCACAGGAAACACGCCCGTTCAAGCCATGTGACATCACGCTGACCTCACTCTGACATCACTGATCAGCAGGAATCAATAGTGAGTGTGTAGACTGTGTGTGAGAGTCAGTAGGAGGAGTCAGAGTGAAGAGGAAGCTGACAAAGCGTCCTCCTGTCTTCATCCGTCCTCCATCAGCTGCTTCACCTCCATTTTCTCTCTGATCCAGAGTCAGATCGGATCAAAGATCAAACAGATCGGTCATCAGAGGAGTTAGATCAGTGGAGATTAGTCTGTTCCTGCTTCTCTCTGCAGAGGAGACAGAGGACAGTCAGACAGAGACAAACACAGAGACTCTGACCTCAGTCTGCATACTGACCTTTGACCCTGAGATCAACTCTTTTCTGTCTCAGGATACTCCAATTCCTGGAGACTCTGCACCTGTATCGTCCTCCATCGCTGTATGTGGGGGATTTAAGGGTCAGACTTAGGTCTCCAGTTCTCAGCAGGTCTTCCTTCATCTCTGTTCGGTCTCTTGCCTGTCGGTCAGGCTGGTCAGAATGGCTCTGATACACGTGGACCGTCTTTATCTTAAATATGGTTTCAAAGCGGATCCACTCCACCCTGACGTCCTCAGGCAGGTTCTCTGTGGTCTTGAAGGGCAGCAGGACAGACTCCGCCCCCTCCTCCACCTCCACCTGACAGACTGAGAGGACAACAAAGCAGAACATGAGCTGCACAGACAGCAGCAGCAGTTTGAATAACTTTATTGACAGAAGCAGATGAGAGCAGCAGCTAACAGGGGACAGAAACACAGGAAGCTGTTGGAGATGATCAGAGTCTTGATGCTGCTGGGATTGTTTTGTCCATGTGCTGCTTCACAGTAATGTCTCCTGTCAGTGTTGAGCTGCTGGACTTTTACATTTCTGGATCTAAAGCTGAACTTTGAAGAGAAGAAGCTTTCAAATGTTTTCATCTCTGTTCTGTAACTGAATCTCAGCTCCACATGTTCAACATCAGTCCAGAACACCGAGACACACAAACATCTGATCTGGATCTGATCCCAAACTGCTCTTCCTGCTTCATCAATATTTGGCCTTTTCTTCTGCCGACTCTGAGCCCACTTTTCTTTCCAAACGGCTTCAACATGATGTGATGAGAACTGATCATCAATCTTTCATTGATCCAAACTATTAAAGCTGCATTTCTTTGTTCTAAGTGATCAACACATTTGGTTTCTTTCAGCTCCTTCCTTTGTGAGAAATAAATTATAGGTTGCTGATGTTTTATGATTCACTGTGACCCTGAGAAATTAGCTTTGGTCACAGTATTTTTTTTTTTATCAAAGATTTTCTGACTTGCAAGAAATGTACTGGTATGTAGGTGAGAGTTTTAACATAGACCAATAAAGAGATATAGAGACATCTCTGATGCCAAATACATTTGCATTGTTTTGTCAGCCCAGGAAGAGCCTTTGAGTGCATGCTGATACTCTAGATGTGATCTGACATTTGTTTCCCTTGTCTACCATTTGTTTTGGCAGTTACTATTGGCTATTGTTTTTTGTACTTGTTTGTATTTAAGAAGAGGAAATGAGTTCGAGAGAGAAAGCGTGGCCACGTTACATAAAGAAAGATTCATCACATCTAATTCACTCCGTATTCTTTGGGAAGGGAATAATTTTCTCTGACATTTTTGGCGACGAGGATGGGATTAGACGCTCCAACTGATCAACGCCCGAGTCCAAACTGCAGGTAACGTTTACCGGTAGGGAAGTCCGCCTCGCATAACGAGAGAGGAACCCGCCTGACTTTGGACCGGGTGGTGACCGGCTGGATACTCCAACCGACTTAAAAATGTGAGCACTATTAACAGTTATCTTTTTTTAACTAGAATTAGACGTAAAACCTGATAAGGTATTCTTGATGTTTCTGTTGGGGAAACATCATTCCATAAAAAGTTTGCCCAGTTGGGGTTTATAGAACAATAAACCTAGTTACTGATCAGGGGTGGTGATAATGGGTCTCATGTAAATCCAGTTGGGTATTAGACTTAAAATAGAACTTTAAAAATACATAAACAGAGAAAAAACAACAGGCCAGGAGTGATGAGTGCATAATCCCATTATGGTAGCATCTCTATTGATAAACTACCTAGGAGTTTATATAGACTAGCAGGTAACGGCATTTAATGGTGGCATTTCGAGAGATTTAGGACGGCCTATTTTCAAAATTCTGAGTTATTTTGGGGGTGAAAAAAGAGGGATAAAAACTTTTTTAATCCTTACTGCAGCGGCCTGGGTCAAACTCTGGCCCATAGCCGTGTGTTGCATGATCATAATTAGTTTCGTTATACTATAAATAACACATCTTAGAAAAACATTCAGATGTTTTCCATTTAGAGTTTTAAAGAGTTTTTGTGATGTGATAAGTGTTTGTTTCAAACTTTATGTTACACTAAGGAGGGAAAATATCTGGGTGTGTATGAAATTATAAATATATAAGTGATAAACTCATTTCAGTGTCTAGCATACACAAATGTAAACGAAAACGAGTGCACCATCATGCAAGTGTCATACGGCTGAGAGAGTTTCTCCAGAGTTAGTGTGTGTTTGATAAGATCTTCCCATATTACAATAGTGGAAGATCAGACTGATTGTGAATGATAAAACCCATTGCAAGTAAAAAGCAGATCTGTTCAGTGAATCTGAGTCAGTCACTTTGCCTGAAACTCTTTCAGGTCCAGCTAAATTAATGGCAGAAAAATAGGGGGAAAGTGTGGTTGTTGATGGTCCAGTTTGGCATGATGTACAGTAACTGAAGGCATTTTTCCTATCCTAGGCACACTGAGTACTATGGAACTTCCAAAGTGTCAGAACTGAATGAAATAATAAATAAATAAATGGGTAAATATATGCAAGAAAGAATGAATGAATAAAAGATTAAATAAATAAATGTGGAAATATAAGAAAGAAAAAAAAATTAAAGAATAAATACATACATTTGCTTTTGCCTTTTCCTTACGAAATTTATTGTCATTGCCATTCCCTTAAGATACTTATTGTCATTGCCATTCCCTTAAGAGACTTGTCATTGCTTTTCCGTTGCAAACCCAACCTGTCAGTCAATATGTTTTGGCCTGCCCACTAAGTCCAACTAATCACTCATAGAAGTGTTCGTTTCAAGGCAGCCTCACTCTACTAATTGCAGTCATGGAGCTTGGCATCGCCATCTAGTTGTGCCTTTTGGAGATTTTTCATGCAAATACCGGACGGATGATGTCTTACTAAGCAGTTAATTGTACTAACAGACCTTCCAAGAAGCTGGTGCTCCAGTTGGTAATTGAAATCCTAGCATTTTATTAATGTGTTGTTAGCACTCATTAGCAGGTATCGGCACATTACATTAGGTTGTTAGCTTAGCCATTTAACTAGCTAATTAGCCAGCTTCAAGCGAGACAAGCTAACGTCGTGCTAACGATGCTCAAAAAACAATAGTGTAACGTAATACATGGTTAACACAGTTTTTGAAGAGTCCTGGACAGAAATCCAAACGTATTAAAGTTTTTGCATTTAATGTGATACAACTTTGGAAGAAAAGTAATCAAAGAGTTGATGGTGCACCGCATTTAGGTAACTGTTAGGTAACGTTAGGTAGGGTTAACCAGTATGTAATCTGCATTAGGCTTCATTAACCGAAATGAGCTGTAAAACTAATCTTGGCTTTGACTCAGCAGTTACCAGCTGTTATTTATTCAGCAAACTATAATTTTTGAGATGCACAGATAGAGAGAGAAAATCTGGGTAGACAAAACAGTCCTGTTGGGCATTACGCATGACACACAGCTTCCTCTGTATGTAGGCTTACCCTGCTTCAACAACGAGCTGCTCCCGTGTTACTGCCACAATAATTGTTTGCGTTGTGAACATTATGTTCATAGATGCTTTAGGAATAATCATATTGTATTGGCTTTATGTGCTACTGCAAATAGTGGCTGAGTCTAGCAAGCGTGATATTTTAAAGTGATCTTATCAATACATTCATGGAGATTTAAAAAGGAAAATAATTATACTAAACAGAAAAAGCTAAATTACAGATAATCAACCAGCAAAGCAAATTGCATTCCCTGTTGCACATCAGCTGTTTCTAACCTGATGAACAACAGATTAATTAATTAACAGGGGAGCTGATTGCAGAATCCGTCCAGATGTGGAGCACCTGTGTCTACACGATATAAAAGTCCCAGCTTCCAGCTTGTGCTCCTTGCTGCTTTGCTTAACCTTTTGTTTTTACTTTTACTCCACAATATATGAATACTGATTTAAAATTATGACACTAGGTTCCCATCCATAGGCTCTATCATTATAATTACTGTTAAAACACATTATTTCTAGTCATACAAAACAACGGTTACATTTGTAACCTTTTAATATTAATGTTTTCATGAATGCAAAATATGGTTTTAATTTGTTAAACTATTGCTTGTGTATTGGGAATCAGACTAAACATTGTTCACATTGTTCAATGATCAGTTTACTATGTTAACTCAAAATAATGTGATCTAAACTTTTAACAAAATGACAGTAAACAGCTGTAAATGAAAATGTTATTATGGTATTCATAAGTTAACATTTTGCTCATATGCTAGAAAGTTCAAAATGAAAAGCTGATGTCCAAATAAAACCAGTATATAACCTTTCTTTAAGAGACAAATGTGACATTCACTGAGAAGTTGCACTGTGTGGAAAACAAAGAATTATCTGGACACTGAATAGTTCTGAAACCCCCAAGGAGGTGTAATTTATTGTGACCCCTGAGAAGGTCTTGTGTGGCTTAAGTTCAATTTATACTTCTGTGTCAAATTGACGTCGTAGGCTACGCAGAGACTACGCTGTCGCCTGACGTGCACCTCCTCAAAAATGTAACTACACGTGGAGTCGACGCCGACCATAAGCTCTGTGATTGGTCGGCTGGGTAGCCTCGCAATGCCTCTGAGCCAACAGGAAGTGCCTGTGCTTTGAAATAACATTTACTAGCTGCCAAAACGGCGGCTGTAACACAGTGAATCAATATATTTGACTCTTGCAACCCAAGCAAAATGACTATCAGAATGTGATCCATTTGGTCGGTAACATTTGAAAAGGCTACACCAGCCGAGCGTTTACAATTTTACCCCCATTCACGTTAGCGGAGTCCTTATCTTGTCTTTAAGTATAAGTTAGAATGTGGAAATACTTCTGCAAACAAAGAAATATACTGCATAATTGGCAACATTTTATGTGAAACATGAACAATTTTTGGTTAGATTTTTGAGTATTTTCACTTTTCTATTTACACTAGATGTAACTCTCTAAGCAAGAGTTCAGTCAGTCATAGAGACAGAAGCAGTGCAAATATATATGGAATTTATTGCAATGTGAACCATAAACAATATTTTTAAATGGCCATGAAACACAAATGTGGACATTATTTAAAACTAACATTAACTGTAAAAGTTAACAGAAGGGAAGGCCTTTTCTACATCAGTCCATGCCACACTGAAGATGCATCCAAGGTCTGTGCAGCTCTCTGGGCACCAGGTGGGGCATCTGATCCACACTGTGAATATGGGAGGAAAATAAATGTGTAATAAATGCTTCAGGTAATGGAAAATATATAGTTAACCATTAAAGATGGCTGAGGTATATGTTGACAACACTATTAGGTCACATATTGGAGAAAATTTAACAAAGAAGCAAAACCTCAAAATGTGTGGCAATCTTTAAATAACTTTGTGTGTTGTCCTTTAAAGACAGACCATGGAAAATCATCATATGTCAAGTAGCCAAGACAAATATTTAGCAGTTTAAGCTGTGTATAGCAGACAGGGTGGAGGCTTCATAGGTGGCCATGACCTCCACAACAACTGACTACTGAAAGAAATGTGTTGTAACGAATTTGAAAGTGCCTTTGTGTGTCAACTGTCATATTCAAGACAAAAATCTTGCACAGCGCTGTCTATTGCATTAACACTTAAGTCAAAGCTAAGTGTGGGGAATTACAATCTTTAACATAAACTGTTAGGCAATAAAAGTTAACAGTTATGTCTAATGGTTTGCAAGCTAAATAGCTACTATCATATGTAATCTAGTACTAGTTTATTAAGTTGTGACAAGTAACGTTATAATCAAGTGACATCCAATTAAACGACTCGTAACAATAGTCAGCCTATGTGAAAATCTAAATTCAGGTTCATTGATTTGCTTCAGATTGTTCATTTGACATGTATTATATGCATTTTAACATTTTGTAGTATACTCTCAATAACAGATTGTTTTTTAAAGTTTTGTTGAGTAGTTTCAAGTTAACTTACCACCAGTGTAACGTCAAGCTGGTAATGATACGGCCACCGGCTACCAACCACAAATGTCGACTTGCCTCTGGGGGGTTTAGCCGATTAGCTACCTCCATTACTAGCAATGCAGAGTAGTATATTAGCTTGGTAGCCATAGTGTATGGTTTCAGAAATCAGGAATCTCAGCTCCTTCAAAACAGCTGTTCAGAAATCAATTGGTGTTATTTTTTATACAGTCAATCATCATAATACAGTAATGTGCACAGCATATTGATACAAACGTATCAGTCATTGGCTGCTCAGACTTGACTTAGTGGGTGGGCCAAAACACATTGATTGACAGGTTGAGTTTGCAAAGGAAAAGCAATGACAAGTCTCTTAAGGGAATGGCATTGACAATAAGTCTCTTATGGGAATAGCAATGACAATAGGTTTTGTAAGGAAAAGGCAAAAGCAAATGTATGTATTTATTTTTTAGTATACGAGTTAGTATTAGTATACTCTTTCTTATATTTCTGCATTTATTTACTTATTCTTTCATTCATTTATTCTTTCATTCTTTCCTTCTTGCTCTTTTTGTTTCAGACTTCTAAACAACTCTATCTTTCTAACTTTAATTCTGTTTCTCGTGTTGTAAATGGAGTCAGTGTGGGCAGCTATATCACTTGATTTGAAGTTTGTGTTTCTGTGTTTCTTTGTCACCTCTAGGAACAAGACGGCACATCCAGCATGCATTAAATGGCCCTTTCTCTTCTTCTTTTCTAACCAACCTTTGCTTGCTTTCTGTTCTCACCTACCTTCAACTGCTGTATGCAAATGTTAGGACCATACGGGTTTCTAACGACCCGGTGATACTACCCTGCTTTACCCACAGTGCAGATGCTTTCTACTGTATTTCTTTCCTCTAAAGATGTCTCTTGGCATTGATAAATGTTTTTTAACCATGTATAAAAAACCAGGGATGAGGAATATTGTAAAAATTATGATGCGCACCAAGGTTTTTTGGGGGGGTTTCTAATTCTTTCTGAGTGTTTTGTTGAAACTAATATGTGTTTTCTACTAACAAAACTAATTAACTAATAACCACTCAGGACTTCCTTCTTGATCAATGCTGGAAATTAACAACTTATTGATCTAATTCTTTCCATCCATGTAAATGATCTCCTGGATTATTCTTGTTTCCTGTTATGATGTCATTTCCTCTTTTGATTGATATATTGTGAATGCTGATCAGTAATTATTGTTTCATGATCAGATATGAGCCAAACATCTACAGCTCTGACCTCTGACCTGTATCTACAGCTCTGACCTCTGACCTGTATCTACAGCTCTGACCTCTGACCTGTATCTACAGCTCTGACTTCTGACCTGTATCTACAGCTCTGACCTCTGACTTGTATCGACAACTCTGACCTCTGGCCTGTATCTACAGCACTGACCTCTGACTTTGAGATTCACTTTTTTCTTCATCAGGATGTCTCTCTCCCTGTAGACGGTGCAGGTGTACGTCTTACTGTCTCTGTCTGTGGGGTGTTTCAGGGTCAGACTGAGGTCTCCAGGTCTCTGCAGGTTTCTCTTCATCTCTGTTCGGTGTCTGTAATATTCGTCCTGTTCTTCAGGCTGGTCAGAGCCGTTCTGATACATGTGGACCACATTATCATCTCTGTCCGTCCACTCCACTGTGACGTCTTCAGGCAGGTGAACTGTGGTTTTGCAGGGCAGCAGGACAGACTCCACCTCTGAATCCACCTCCACCTGGTAGACTGAGAGGACAACAAAGCACAACATGAGCTGTACAGACAGCAGCAGGAACTCTGAAATATGTCCCATTGTTCCATCTAACAGAGACAGTGTTGTCTTTGGTGTCTCTACAATCATTAGTTTTATTGTCAGATGGAAGTTTTAACACTCTGAAACGTTTTCCAAA